AACGACGGGCTCCCTCTTGTCATAGTCATTAGCAATCTTGAGATAATGCTGGACGGTCTTCAGCTGAGGAGGACACGGTGGTAGGTTGGGCGACGACATCTTCTCTTGTTGTTGTTGTGGCGAGGAGACGGCCGCGTTCACTGCTGGGCTAAAACTCTCTTTTTTAATGTTTTTTTTTCGGAATTGGAATTGTAGGTGTGGATTTTTTTGGGGGGTAGGGGTGTTTGATTTTTTTTGTATTGATTTGTGGCAGATAGATGTTTATGAAGTGTGGTTTGGTTGTTTATTTTTTTGGAGAGGTTTAAATTCTACTTGAATGTCGTCTGTTCTTGCAGTATATTTTGTTTCTTTTCTTTTTGTTACGATATTAAGCCGGTTACATTTCATTGAGAAAATAGCAACTTGCACTTTAAAAAAACATCGTTCATGGTAAATAAAGTTGACAAGAAAAAGTGCAGACGAAATTATTCCTGTCTTTTCATTTTCCAACAGGATACAGGATTTTGATGCGTCATTATATCATATCATGTGCTGCCATGAACTTATATTCTATAATTATCTATCTGTGTGTAGTATATCCGAAGATGTGTTTCGCATTTACGTGATCTTTATTTCTTTATAACGTGAATAAAAATGTGATGCTACAATTAGTGAAGCACAAAAATTATATTAATGCTTCTTATATGTAGGATATGTATGTATGCACACACACACACACACACTCACACACACACACACACACACACACACACACACACACACACACACACACACACACACACACACACACACACACGCGCGCACGCACGCACGCACGCACACACGCACACACGCACACACGCACACACGCACACACACACACACACACACACACACACACACACACACACACACACACACACACACACATACACTCACACACACACACACACGCACACATACAGATTTCCCTCTCCCTGTTTGTCTGTCTGGCTCTGTCTGTCTATCTGTCTGTCTCTCTCTCTCTCTCTCTCTCTCTCTCTCTATATATATATATATATATGTGTGTGTGTGTGTGTGTGTGTGTGTGTGTGTGTGTGTGTGTGTGTGTGTGTGTGTGTGTGTGTGTGTGTGTATGTATATATATATATATATATATATATATATATATATATATATATATATATATATATACATATACATATAATACATATGTGACAGAGAGGGATAGAATGGGAGAAGTACCCTTTTAATGATAATGATAATAACAATGGTGATAATAGTAGAATTATCATAATCATCATCGTAAGCATTATCATTTGTATCTTATTAGTTATTATTATTAGTGTTATTCTCATCATCACTAACAATCTCCTTTAGTTATAATCACAGTCATTACTATCATCATTATCAGCATCATTATCATTAGCATTAGTCCCATCATTACTTTCATCAATATTGGTGTTATCTTTACCATATTTTTTATTATCTTTATCATCGTCATCAGCAAAACACATTATGGTTTTAAGAGAGGCTGTGGTACCAGAGATGCAGTCCGTATGATACGTATGCTCTGGGAAAAGGAACCAGACTAAGGGGAAAGGAACTCTGAAAGCTTTTGATAGGATGGACTGCACACTGTCCCCTCTATTATTTTCAGTCTATGCAGAGGGAGTGAATGTTGGAGGAGAAGTATTAAAAGTTATAAGGCTTGTAGATGATCAAAGCATGGTTGCTGAAATTGAGAACGGATTATAGATAATAATGGACAGAGTAAATGAGGTGCCACAGAAATATGGAATGAAGGTCAGTATAAAGAAGACAAAGGTTATGGTTGTATCTACATAAGGTAGTGGAGTTGTGAATAATACTCTAAATGGTAAATTAATAGGACAAGTTGTAATGTGGGACCACGGATAGCTGATGACAGAAATTGTGATACGAATCAGAGTGAAGAAAAAGATTGTGAAAGCGATGATCTGGAGTGAGCTCTTGTTTGGATAAAAAAACATGGACAATGAAAACGGACATGATTCAAAGTATTGAGGCTTTTGTCATTTGGTTTTGAAGAAGGATGGGAAAAAATAAGCTGAACAGAGAGGAAGACCAATGACGAGGTATTGTCGGTAGGGTGGGGTGGGGGTGGGGGGAGGAAGAGTCATTTGATGGAAGGGGTGAATAAAACTCAAAAGAGATGGACTGGACATGTGTTACGTGGAAACGGGTTGATGAAGGAGGTGACTGAAGGACGGAGAGCTGGAGAAGACCTAGGGAAAGGAAAAGACTGGGCACGTTAAGTGAATCAAAGGAAGATGGGTATGCCAATATGAAGAGAAGAACAGAGTGAAGAAAATAGATGCCAAAATGGACCTGTCGTGGGACAGAGCACTAAAGAGTTTATTATCATAATCGTTATCACTATTGCTGTTATTATCATTATTGATATTATTACCATTATTATTCGTATCATCGTTATTATCAATAGTTTTGTTATCTTTATCATTATTATCAATGTTGGTATCATTATCATTATTTTTGCTATCATTATGCGTATTATTATCATTACATGACTACTGCCATTATCGTTGTTGTTATTCTTATTATCATGGTAGCAATATTGATCCTTATTAGCCCGTCTTTAAACAGGGTCGCTGTTTTTGGTGAGCCGTCTCCTGCTTCTATCGCCTACGATGTTGTTAAAACTCTTCTGTTCTCTCTCATATCCACTGCTATACAATCTTTCTATCTTGTCTTGGGCTTTCCTCTCCTCATTCCATATCCAATGCTTTTTTCTCACTGCTTCTTCCATCGCTCCTCATGTCCACACCTTGCTTCTTGTTCCTTCACTGACACCTCAGCCACTTTTACTCTTCGTCTAATCCTTGCACTGCAATTTCTGCCCCTCTTTGTCGCTCCACACGTCCATCGTAACATCCTTATTTCAGACACTTTCATCCTCTTTGCTTTTTTGGCAGGCACTGCATCTGCCACGGACGTCAATCCAGGTCTTGCAACAGCCTTATATACTTTCCCTTTCAGTCTCACTGGCATTTTCCTGTGGCACAAAATTCCCGACACAGCCCTCCAATTTTCCATCCTGTTAGAGTCTTTCATATATTTCTTTCTCCTCAATGTCTGCTGACAAAGTGGATCCCAGGTCTCTCTTCAGTTATGCATCATTCAGTTTAATGTCTCCCCGTCTCTCAAGTTCCTGATCTTTACACATCATACATTTAGTCTTTCCTCTGCTTGACATTCCTATACATTTAGTTTATCAGACTTACATACTTTTTCCAGAATCCTACTTTCTCTTTCGCTCTCATACATCTCCACAGTTCCTGTCTCGGCATTCTACCATAGGCTTTCTCCAAACGTATAGCTACCTCGGGAAATTCTTTTCTGATTCCCTCAAGCCACGATATCCTCAGGGGTCGGGCGCGATCCTTGTGCATCACTAATAACGGGATACGTCCTGACTTTATTCGATATGCCTCGGTTTTTACTCATCACCGATTTTGCCTGGTTTTAATGAACTTCTAATGGGCTGGGTGCCGGCATGGAGTGGCATTGGTATTGAGAGTAATAATGATAATGATAATCTAACAATGAAAACGATAAAAAACAGGAATAGCAATGATCACAGTAATAACAATGATGATGCTATTAATGCAACTATAATATTGATAATAATGAGATGGTTAGCAATAATGTAAAAGATAGAGGATAAATATACCAATAAAAATACTAATAACAACAAGAACGGATTGATAAGCAATAATAATTGATAAGCAAAAAATACTCCAACACCATCAATAAGAATGGACTGATCACCATTAACAACAACAACAACAAAAATAATAATAATAATAAAACAAAAAAATGAAAACTAAAATATAATAGCGTCGTCTCCCCCGCGCCGCCCGTTTTCTACGAGCGAGGATTTGTTGTTATGGTGGAGAGGTGACGAGAGTGAGTCCGGTGTTTTAAGCTCGGTTTCTGCCAAAGGTCGGTCTATTTCGGGGCTTTAGGGCTCGGGATGGAAATTCGTGTCGTAAGGGATGTTTGGTCTGGCTTGTGGTGAGGGTATGGTTGGTGTGGTCTTGGCGAATGGCGTTTTATATGACGTAATAGGCAGGTCGTTGTTCAGGCGGGTTGGGAATCCGAGGCAATTTTGAGGGTATTTTATTCGTATTTTTTTTCTTCAGGATTTGGGAGTTTTTTGTCTCGAACGGGTGTATGTGGCCGGTGGAAAAGTACGAGGAATTGTGCGTGTTACAACAGTTACAAGATGTGATTGGGAGGAGAAATTATCATTTTCATGTCCAGTTGGCGCCTCCGTGTCAACAGCATGGATTTTTTTTATATATTTTTTCATTAATAAAAACTCAGATTTTGGAAATTCATTTACCTGTGGCATGCTTGTACCACGAGGATTGCAGAAGGATCGAAGGACAATGATTGATAATCACTATTTTGCCTTGATGATTATTTTCTTGCAACTGGTTTTCATTTTAACAATAAGGGCTATTTTTACAGTACAAGAAACACAGGAATTTAGTTTAGCAAAATGTTTAATAAGTGACTTTTCATGCCGGAAGTAATGTTACGTATCTTGTTTTTTTCTGCCTTATGTCAATGATTAAAGGAAATGTGAATGTTAATATCAGTGATGATGGTAGATGTTTAGACTGGGTTGGTCTTCAAAGCCATTACATTTGCCGTCCATGCTCACAAATTAATGTCTGCTAACCAAATTTAGCGGTAATAGCCCGTGAAATTGATAAAATAAGCCAAAATAAACCAAAAACTCCTCTATTTTGTACAATAAATCAGGGAATGCATACTTAGTGAGAGAGGTCTATGTTGGGAATCCTCTCCCTCGGCTGGATCGTGTCATGACTCAGAGGCACGTCCTTGAACTGTTTGGGCTGAGTCTTGCAGATCAAGAATTCCAGACACAGGGTAGGGTAGCAGCAAATCAGAGGGAAACAGCATATTTATCCACCTTATTTAAATGATTTCGAAATGTGGAATTATTCTAGGAAATGACTCTAGTAATAGTAATAAGGATACACACACACACACACACACAACACACACACACACACACACACACACACACACACACACACACACACACACACACACACACACACACACTCTCTCTCTCTCTCTCTCTCTCTCTCTCTCTCTCTCTCTCTCTCTCTCTCTCTCTCTCTCTCTCTCTCTCTCTCTTTCTCTCTATGAACATACAAATTTTTTTTGGGTATATCTTGTAAAAAGGATTGTGCAGAGATAGAGAATAACTAAAGTGATGCCCTTAGAGAACATAGAAAACACTATTAGCTAAGGAACCAGATAAGGATCCAGTCCAAGCTCTACCTTGTTGAATATGAGGTGTAGGTATGTTGGTACCTTCTGGATGGGCGAAGGCTTGAAGTCTACATTGCTAGTTGGAAGTAGGGAAGATGTTATGTGTGGGGGTGGGGGTACACATGCCCTTGAGATTAAGATTGAGAGATGGGGGAATAGGTTGCATATATAGGCAAATGGGTGGATGTATGGATATGTACTTAATTGGTATTAGGTATAGGCAGGTGCGCTGTTATCAAAAGGCAAACTGAGCAGTAAATGATACATAAGTAGTGTAATTTAGTGTAATATTAAATCAGAATTTGTATGAAAAATTGTCATACTTTAGAATGTCTAACCTGCAATATGCATAAATCATATGTAAATGAGGTTATGTTATATTTGGTTTTCATAACAGAGTCAGATATGTGATCAGTGAGGGATAATTTATAATTATCTTGAGAGGAATGATTTTATTGTCAAGTTGTAATGGAATTAAAATGATTTCAAGATCAGGTTGTCATCGAACAAAACTTCCTGTTTTCAGAAAATGGCTAGTATGGAAGTAGACGAAGATGTCGCAGCAGAGGCCACCTCCTCGTCCCAGTCTGTTGCAGTGGAGAGTTCGAGTCAGGCTGCAGGCAATACCTCAAATTTTACAGCCCCAACCTCTCCAGCTCCACCTGCACAGCCTGCTACAGGTATGAGGATGATTTATTTTTATATATACATTTATATTTTTTTTAGTTTATGTTTTGAAAATGATTGTAAGTGGATGTACAAGAATGACGAGAGAGGGTTGCTAGAAATATTACAGATTGTTGTTTACTTTCTTTTTTCGTATCATGAGAAATCAAATAATAACAGTATAACTTTAAGTGTCTACTTGCCCCATTACTTAGTATACATTTTAGTTTAGATGTGAAGATTTATTTATTACTAGTTTCAGGAAAATGTTCAAAGAAATCTTTCTCTTTGTTTCAACCTTGATAAAAACCATGTTCTTCAAAGAAATGGTGGTCACATATATAGTTCACCCCTTTGATATAATTTTGATGTTTATACACAGGTGGTGGAAGTGGTAGCGCCCTCAGTGATGTTAGCCCGGGAAATTCTGTAATGGCGTCTGCTGGGACTGTGGGTAGTGTGTCAGTTTCTCTTCACCCTCTGGTCATATTGAATATATCAGAACATTGGACTCGTCAACGTGCTCAGGAGGTTACCAGTGAAGTGCAAGGTAATTGTTTGATCATTAACAAATTATCTCTTTGTCTGTGTATGTATTTCATGATGAAATATATTTTAGAATGTTGATTTCTGTTCACTTATGTCTTTCTGTTTGTCTTCTGTTTTTTTTTTTTTTCCATGTGAATCTAAGAATGATGTGCAAGTTGTGTGTTTCTAAAACCCTTTATTTTATATTTCTTTCAGTGCTTGGAGCCTTGATTGGAAAACAAACCGGTCGTCATGTAGAGATAATGAATTCCTTTGAGCTGAGCTATGATATGCTGGACGGAAACATCATCATCAACCGTGAATATTATACCCTAAAAGAGGAGCAGTGTAAGTTGTTCTTGTGACCTGTTATGGTAATCTTTAATATAGCTTGATATGTAGCTTTTGTAATGTTTGACGAAAATGTTCTTGATTAAGTTCTTAAAGGCAGTACTTTGTGGCATTGTATTAACCCAAAACCGATGGGCATGAAATGTACTTTAGTAATTGTTTTTACACATAGATGGCACCACTTGTACTAGATCACCATGAGCCAGTTATGAATACTTCTTGTTTCACCTGTTTACCCTTTTCCTTGATTTTTAAAAATATTTTATGGTATCTTATATTGCTGTTACTAATGTCTATTATAAAAATAACACAATTTATATTCATATTATTAGTAAAAAACACATTTTTTCCTGCAAATTCAAGGAAATGTGAAATCAGGTAAAGTCACAAGGTCTACTAATTGACTCCTTTGTAGCTCAGCACACGCAGAGCCATCTATGTGCAGAGACATTTCACAAAAAAATCTAAAATGAGCACAACATTTTCCTGGCGACTTTGGGTTAATAATATTGTATCTTTATATATTTGCCAGATTATATAGGCTTTGGAGGTGAATTTTTGGACTCTACCTCTTGGGTCATAAAATGTCTTTGAATTTTGTTAGCGCTCAGTAAGATTTTCCTGAAGACTAGACATGAATGTTAATTAAGACTAGGAATGAAACTATGGTTATTTGTGAACCTTTTGGCACCAGAATACATGCAAAGCCCACTGTAGTCTGTTTTATGAATATTGATTAAGCTGAGATGGCTTCACAGCTGCATAGCCACCTAGGAGGCAGTTACTAGTCTTGCCTAAATCGCTCTCTTTTTTATGAGTGGGGATAGGGTTTATTTCTGTTAATTTTATAGTTATTGTTGGTATAATTATTATTATTATTATTATTATTATTATTATTATTATTATTATTATTATTATTAATGTTATGATGATGAGGAGGATGAAGATGATGAAAATAATACTTTGAACAATATTGTAAAAAATAAAAAAATAAAAAAGGGGTAAATAGATGAGGTCAAGTATGTGCCCTGGAGCCATCTGTGTGTAAACTAAATCAGTAAAACAAAGCCATATCTTGTTTACATTCACTTCTAGTATCAGTGAATAAATTTTTGCTAGTCAAGCTAAAATAATATTTTAATGTCTTTAATTCATAACAGATAAACAAGTATTCAGTGACCTTGACCTCCTTGGCTGGTATACAACTGGGGACACACCAGGACCCCCTGACCTTCTGGTTCACAAGCAGATTTGTGACCTCCTAGACAGTCCAATATTCCTCAAGCTCAATCCTATGGCACGGCACACTGATGTAAGTACTGTCCCTTGCATACTGCAGATATGTGCAACAGACATATGATATATAGTATATGTAGTCTGCTTGGCCTGTCTCATATTTTTGTTTTTCTTTTAGGCTGCATGTCATTAAAAATTAAAGATGATGATATTGTGATATATGATAGTGTAATGCATTATTGTTATTTTTTCTTTCTTTCTTTCCTTTTGGAGAATAAAACTGTATGTATATTTGCTCACTTCCCAACAGCTACCTGTAAGTATTTATGAGAGCGTTCTGGATCTTGTGAATGGGGTACCCACCTTGCTCTTGGTTGAACTGCAGTACACCCTTGCAACAGAAGAGGCTGAACGCATAGGTGTAGACCATGTGGCGAGGATGTCTTCACATGATGTACAGGAGAGCTCAATTGGTTAGTCTCTAAAATCTTTTTCTTTTTTCCTTAGTGCCCATCAGCAGTTATTAAATATTCAGCTGATAATATAGGTGAACCTTGAAACCAGACAAATATTTTTTTTTTTTTTCTTTAGTGCCCATCAGCAGTTATTAAATATTCAGCTGATAATATAGGTGAACCTTGAAACCAGACAAATATTTTTTTTTTTTTTCTTTAGTGCCCATCAGCAGTTATTAAATATTCAGCTGATAATATAGGTGAACCTTGAAACCAGACAAATATTTTTTTTTTTTTTCTTTAGTGCCCATCAGCAGTTATTAAATATTCAGCTGATAATATAGGTGAACCTTGAAACCAGACAAATATTTTTTTTTTTTTTCTTTAGTGCCCATCAGCAGTTATTAAATATTCAGCTGATAATATAGGTGAACCTTGAAACCAGACAAATATTTTTTTTTTTTTTCTTTAGTGCCCATCAGCAGTTATTAAATATTCAGCTGATAATATAGGTGAACCTTGAAACCAGACAAATATTTTTTTTTTTTTTCTTTAGTGCCCATCAGCAGTTATTAAATATTCAGCTGATAATATAGGTGAACCTTGAAACCAGACAAATATTTTTTTTTTTTTTCTTTAGTGCCCATCAGCAGTTATTAAATATTCAGCTGATAATATAGGTGAACCTTGAAACCAGACAAATATTTTTTTTTTTTTTTTTTTTTTTTTTTTTTTTCTTTAGTGCCCATCAGCAGTTATTAAATATTCAGCTGATAATATAGGTGAACCTTGAAACCAGACAAATATTTTTTTTTTTTTTCTTTAGTGCCCATCAGCAGTTATTAAATATTCAGCTGATAATATAGGTGAACCTTGAAACCAGACAAATAATTTTTTTTTTTTTCTTTAGTGCCCATCAGCAGTTATTAAATATTCAGCTGATAATATAGGTGAACCTTGAAACCAGACAAATATTTTTTTTTTTTTTCCCCTTTAGAAATTGTTTGAATTTAATTTTTCTTCCTCCTTTGCACACAGAAGAATTTGCCATGTTATCATTGATTATGTACTCAGTTCTGTCTTAATAAACTTAAAGTTATTAACACATTTATTTCTCCCATTTAGTAATTAAGAAAGAATAAAAAAAAAAAGCATATTCAGATCATCTCTGATACTCATGTGGCATCATTGGGTGAAGGATGTTAGGTTGTGTTGTCTCTGTACATGATTTCGTGTTCACTTTCATAGTCTGGCGGTTTGTTTGTTTATTTGATTGTTTGTATGTATGTTTTTTTTGTGTGTGAGTGTAAAGGAAATTTTCTGGGATAAATAAACCAATCATGTATATATCACTCATCTTTAATGGTAGTGAGTATTCAGTTTGTGCCTCATGCCAAAGGCCCTGCATATGCAACATCTTGTTAGTTGTTGCATACTGGTCAATGTATAAAATATTAAATTCCATGACAAAAAAAAAAAAAAAAGCATATTCAGATCATCTCTGATACTCATGTGGCATCATTGGGTGAAGGATGTTAGGTTGTGTTGTCTCTGTACATGATTTCGTGTTCACTTTCATAGTCTAGTGGTTTGTTTGTTTATTTGATTGTTAGTATGTATGTTTTTTTTGTGTGTGAGTGTAAAGGAAATTTTCTGGGATAAATAAACCAATTATGTATATATCACTCATCTTTAATGGTAGTGAGTATTCAGTTTGTGCCTCATGCCAAAGGCCCTGCATATGCAACATCTTGTTAGTTGTTGCATACTGGTCAATGTATAAAATATTAAATTCCATGACAAAAAAAAAAAAAAAAAAAAAAGCATATTCAGATCATCTCTGATACTCATGTGGCATCATTGGGTGAAGGATGTTAGGTTGTGTTGTCTCTGTACATGATTTCGTGTTCACTTTCATAGTCTAGTGGTTTGTTTGTTTATTTGATTGTTAGTATGTATGGTTTCTTTTTTTCTTTTTTTTTTTTTTCTTTAGTGCCCATCAGCAGTTATTAAATATTCAGCTGATAATATAGGTGAACCTTGAAACCAGACAAATATTTTTTTTTTTTTTCCCCTTTAGAAATTGTTTGAATTTAATTTTTCTTCCTCCTTTGCACACAGAAGAATTTGCCATGTTATCATTGATTATGTACTCAGTTCTGTCTTAATAAACTTAAAGTTATTAACACATTTATTTCTCCCATTTAGTAATTAAGAAAGAATAAAAAAAAAAAAGCATATTCAGATCATCTCTGATACTCATGTGGCATCATTGGGTGAAGGATGCTAGGTTGTGTTGTCTCTGTACATGATTTCGTGTTCACTTTCATAGTCTAGTGGTTTGTTTGTTTATTTGATTGTTAGTATGTATGTTTTTTGTGTGTGTGAGTGTAAAGGAAATTTTCTGGGATAAATAAACCAATTATGTATATATCACTCATCTTTAATGGTAGTGAGTATTCAGTTTGTGCCTCATGCCAAAGGCCCTGCATATGCAACATCTTGTTAGTTGTTGCATACTGGTCAATGTATAAAATATTAAATTCCATGACAAAAAAAAAAAAAAGTAGTAGTCTATGTTGCGTCCAAGACTGTAACAATCATAAGTTGTAGATGCTATTTGCTTGGAAGAGCAGTGGTATTAAAGAGAAAAGAAGAAAGAAAGAAAGAAAGAAAGAAAGAAAGAAAGATAGATAGAAAGAAAGAAAGAAAGAAAGAAAAAAAAAAAAAAAAAAAAAAAGGAGAGAGAGATGTCTACAACTTTAACAGATTATGAAACAGAATTTCTCTTCTGTATTCTAATCACCCTCACTTTCAAAAAAATTCCTTCCCATAAATATTCTGAGCGGCAAGAACATCAAGTACAATCAATAATATATTTTGGTAACAGCTAGTTCACTAAATAAATTAAATGTGATAACATCTTATGCTCCTTATATGGGCTATATATCCATCCAATAATAATAACAATAATAAAAGAAAAGAAAACAGAGACAGCAACAACTATTTCCCTGGTGTACCGTTTACTAATGTTTGAGGGTTATCAATATCTGGCAGGTGGAGCTCTACCAGCCCAATTAACTCTTCGACTTGTTCCTCACTTAGTCTTTCTTCGCTGTCTTCAATTATCTGAAAAGAAGAAGAAAAACAAACATTTTATAATTTAATCCCTTCTGAGCAGGTTTTAGTATTTTTACCTCTGTAAAAGTTGAACATTATTTCAAATCAATATCATAATCAAATCTCTTGTGATTTTTTACTCTCAAAAATATATAAAATCAGATACTGTGCAATTGGAAAAAAAAGTACTGCACATTTACACGTAAGCATAGACTACTCACGAGCTGCATTTCCACTGGTGTTGTTGGACGTAAGTTGATTAACTGTAGTTTTTCTGCTTTGGTGAGTTTGAATTCTTTCACAGCTTGTAGGAAACCTTGTATTACTTCAGCATTTTGATTTCTGCAAGCTGTCTTTTCAAGGTACTTCATGGTCTGAAAAATAAGACATTGTAAGTGTTTATATACAAGTTACATCACAAGAATTTACTGTTTAGATACAATTTCAGAAACCTTTTGAAATCTTAGCAGATTAACTGACACAGAATTAAATATAGGATTTGAAATCAGTAATTATTTAATCATATGTTATCTTTTTACATACTCCTACAGCATCACTTTAACTAAATAAAATAGAAATACATCCGTACTTCAAATGCAATATTGGCAAGGTCTGCTTGTGTCTTCATCATACTTTTTCTGCCTTTTTCTTGCCTACACAATCCTGCAGGAGAGCATAGACCTCACAGTTGCTCAGAACAGCTCCTTTACAATTTAACCTGCAAAAGAAAATACACATGTTATATAAACAAAAAGTACATAACTACTTCTAAAATTGAATCTTACTAATCCTTCCCTTTTTCTATTTAGAGACCTAAATATTTTGATAGTATGTACTTAAAAAATTAATAACAAATGATACACAGAGCCTTGAACTCCTGAACACTAGATCAGCACTCATGTGTCTTACGCCACTCAATTATTGAGCACACAGTGTATTTTTAAACTGTACAAAAACTCTTGGTGATAATTTTGCTATCTTCCAATTCATTTATTCTATTTACAAACAGATGACTCTAGAAATGGAGTTAATAACTAGGCCTGCTTAACCTTGTCTATTTACCCTATTCCTTGAAATTTCAATAAAAGAAGTTGCTATTGCTTTTATTTTCATTACTTTAATTATTATTAATAATATTATAATGAGAATGATGATAACAATAATAAAAGAAAAGAAAACAGAGACAGCAACAACTATTTCCCTGGTGTACCGTTTACTAATGTTTGAGGGTTATCAATATCTGGCAGGTGGAGCTCTACCAGCCCAATTAACTCTTCGACTTGTTCCTCACTTAGTCTTTCTTCACTGTCTTCAATTATCTGAGAAGAAGAAAAACGAACACTTTATAATTTAATCCCTTCTGAGCAGGTTTTAGTATTTGTACCTCTGTAAACGTTGAACATTATTTCATATCAATATCATAATCAAATCTCTTGTGAATTCTTATTCTCAAAAATATATAAAATCAGATACTGTGCAATTGGAAAAAAAAGTACTGCGCATTTACATGTGTGCACAGACTACTCACAAGCTGCATTTCCACTGGCGTTGTTGGACGTAAGTTGATTAACTGTAGTTTTTCTGCTTTGGTGAGTTTGAATTCTTTCACAGCTTGTAGGAAACCTTGTATTACTTCAGCATTTTGATTTCTGCAAGCTGTCTTTTCAAGGTACTTCATGGTCTGAAAAATAAGACATTGTAAGTGTTTATATACAAGTTACATCACAAGAATTTACTGTTTAGATACAATTTCAGAAACCTTTTGAAATCTTAGCAGATTAACTGACACAGAATTAAATATAGGATTTGAAATCAGTAATTATTTAATCATATGTTATCTTTTTACATACTCCTACAGCATCACTTAAACTAAATAAAATAGAAATACATCCGTACTTCAAATGCAATATTGGCAAGGTCTGCTTGTGTCTTCATCATACTTTTTCTGCCTTTTTCTTGCCTACACAAATCCTGCAGGAGAGCATAGACCTCACAGTTGCTCAGAACAGCTCCTTTACAATTTAACCTGCAAAAGAAAATACACATGTTATATAAACAAAAAGTACATAACTACTTCTAAAATTGAATCTTACTAATCCTTCCCTTTTTCTATTTAGAGACCTAAATATTTTGATAGTATGTACTTAAAAAAATAATAACAAATGATACACGGAGCCTTGAACTCCTGAACACTAGATCAGCATTCATGTGCCTTACGCCACTCAATTATTGAGCACACAGTGTATTTTTAAACTGTACAAAAACTCTTGGTGATAATTTTGCTATCTTCCAATTCATTTATTCTATTTACAAACAGATGACTCTAGAAATGGAGTTAATAACTAGGCCTGCTTAACCTTGTCTATTTACCCTATTCCTTGAAATTTCAATAAAAGAAGTTGGTATTGCTTTTATTTTCATTACTTTAATTATTGTTAATAATATTATAATGAGAATGATGATAACAATAATAAAAATGACATTAATATTGATGATAATAGTAATAATAACAATAAAAACTTAGATCAGGTTGGCCTAGTAATTTGCTTTTTGGTGACTAAATACTAGTGAAGCCATCCACATGTAAACAAAATGAATAAGACAAAATCACAACGGACAGTATATGCATCTTGTGGCTATGGGTTAATATGATGATGAGCTCCTTGCATATACTTTTTATTTCAAAAATCCTAATTATTTGCTTAATATGGGCACTTCCTTTTCATGTGAGTATCCCACTTATTTTGGTAAAATTAGAACTCATTGTTGGCATTAAACCATACCCAAAACACTTTATAATTTAACTTTAAAATTATTACACTTGGTTTGATGAGCTTCCCTTGTGCATGCTGATACAAATTTTCAACATGTATAGCCATGGTCAAACTAATCTCAGGATATTACCAAATTCAGAGTGAAAATTTGTCAATCTAGAATAGAGCCTGCATGGCTCTTTATTTTATAATTTTATAACTACAAAGAATTCTATAAATAATGGTCAGGATCACAGTGTTCATGATTATGTCCTATTTACTGGTTCTATTTACTATATCAATTAAATTATTATTATTTTTTACTTTCAATCTAAGCATACAATAAAAGGAACATTCTGTAAGTCTATTAGTTCTTATTAGTCTATTGTTTAGTCATGAGCAGTTATTGGGTCTTTCTTCCATAAGCTTATTACTAATATCCTCTATATATCACTGGTTCCCAACCGGTGGGCCACAACCCCCAGCCCTGAGGGATAGTAGGTAAGTTACAAAGTCTTGGAAGAAATATTTTGTCCAATTTTCTAGGCATTAATCAGTACTCATATCAAAATTATACTATGAAGGCATGACTTCAGGAAGCAGTGTTATAATTAGTTTTTAAAGACTGTCCTGGGATCATTAAACCTCCAAACTATATTAGCTGTATAAAGTACTTTCAGTTTAAACAAACAATATATTATAAAATATTACCAACAAAATTTCCAACAAAAAATACAAAAGGTTGAAACTGACAGATATTTCACTTTTTTCTCTTTAATATTTCTACTACATATCCTAGTCTATTAGCACTGTACTATTCTACGAGGTCAAAAATATTCTAAAATAGTGTCATGTGCTTGGCCAAAGAAGTGAACTGACAGGCTTGGCTTAGTAATGGCAATCATTTGTTCCAGACAAATATTTGTGTTTGCTGGCTTAACCATGAATATATTTTCTAAATAACATTCACATTCAGTATGTAAAATATTGTACTTCATCCAATGGTAATTTTTTCGTATTGTAAAATGTAAATGAAAATTGTAAAAAAAAAAAATCTATTATTGGCTTCCCATCATTTCACTGTCTGTATGAATTTTTCTAAATCTTACACCTTAATCCCTCCCACTGCTTACTTATTCAAAATATTCATTGTCTTATTCCACTTTCAGAATACCAACACACCTGAGCTTCTGAACAAAACAGTTTTATGACGTACAACTGGTGACTGTTGTTGATTAATACCGTGAAGTACAGAGAGAAGATCACAGATACTTTTTTGACCATTTAACATACTCTCAGGTGATGAACCCGATCTTAAACAAATTCGAGCAAGAAAGCAATTAGACCTGTACTAGTCCTGGGCGTTTACTATACCCCAACAACATAAGCTGTATAAAGTAGTCTCCGCTTAACCAAGCAGCACATTATGAAATGTTACTAAGTGTCCAACAACAAAAGTATCAAACATTTGAGGATGTCTATTCTCTGGAAGATGTCTTCCGAATAATTACTCATTTTTCTGATCATCACCAAGATACTCGTAGCAGCCTGCATTAAAAAAAAAAAAAAAATCTGCATACAATTACTTATTCCTATACAATTCTGCCGACGAAATGATATATACCAAACTCCTCAACAATTACAAATATCTTAGGGATGAAACGGACACGGAATAACAATAAAGAACACACTAAAAACCATCAAAATGCGAGGCGCTTCACTCACACTTCCATCCCGGACGATCGTGTTGATGCTGCAGTTACACCACGTGCGGTATCGCGCCTCCCCCACGCAAGGCCGGAAGCAACAGCGATAGACCTCCTGCGGTTTAATGAGCCTCTGCACTATCCCAAACAAACCCTCAGAGGTAATGTCAGCCTTGCTCTCTATTTCCACAGAACGGAGAAGGTGTTTCGCTTCCGCTCCCGAGGTTCGCTCCGTCGACAGCTGCTCATGTAAACAGACGATGTTGCCGACTCCTTAGCGGAAATTTCGTCACTACATCGAGCGAAAAGGTGCTAGGGCTTGTGGAACTCTATTGCCAATGCATTCAAATACGTATATTATGTCTATTTTGAGGTTCATATTTATTATGAAACAAAGTGTTAATCAAATAATGTAGCTACTCTCTATCCCATATCTAAATTCCACCATACGAGAGAATGTCGCTACATTCATATCTTCACACCTCGCCTGTAGTAATACTATAGGCAGGTAAGAAAAATAATTCAAGATAACATTCTCACAGAAGACAAAAGTAGCAAGAGGCCCGACGAAATTATAATAATCTAAGGTTAGCGAAAATATCGTCACTATATCGAGTAGAAAGGCGGTGGTGCTTATGAAACTCTACTGCCAAATCACGCAATAAATATAATACGTCTATTTTGAGGTTCAGCTTTATCATAAAAAAACAAAGAATGAATAGGAATAATTGAGCTACTCTCCATTCCGTATCTAAATTCCATAAAGAACATTTATATCTTCACATCTTGCCTATAGTAGTACTGTGGGCAGGTAAGAAAATCATTCATAAAATTCTAATGACAAACGTAGCAACGGAATTATCATAATCCTAGGTGTAGCTTTTACATTTTACTTTTTTTTAAAAATATTTATCAATTACTTTTGAAAAGGCGTCATTTGAGAAGTAAATCGTTACGAGGTGTCAATTAACATTGTGTTCAGTTTTCAGTTTTATAGCAGGTATTAACTGTATTATTATTAATCGTCATTCATTTTTGGAAAGTATGACGTAAAATATAATGATTTGAATGAAAAGTTATCATTTTAAATTATTTTTGCTATCATTATTATTAGTAGTATTGTAGCTATTATTATCATTATTATTATCATTATCATTATCATTATTATTATCATTATTATTATCATCATTATCATTATCATTATTATCGTTGTGGCTGTTGTTTTTATTGTTATCATCATTGTTGTTATTATTATCATTATTTTTTTTTTATCTTTAGTAGTAGTAGTATCATTATAATAATTATTACTATCATTTGGTAGTAAAAATTATTATCAATATTATCATTATTATTATTAATAGTAGTAGCAGTATCATTAGTACTATCATAATTATTACTATTATTTTTTATTATCATTATTATTATTATTAAGATTATAATTACCATCATTATTATTATCATTATTAGTAACACTATTATCCTCATCATCATTGTTATTATCATTATTGACATTTTTATTATTATCATCATCATTCTAATCCTCATCAGAGTTATTATTTCTATTATCATTATCGTTATTATTGATATCCTCATTATAACTATTATTATCATTACTAATATTATTATTACTATTATTAGTATCATTATTGTTATCATTATCATTGTTATCATTTTGTTATTATTAATATTAATGTTATTATTATTATTATCATTATTATTATTATTATTATTATTATTATCATTATTATTATCATTATCATTACTGCTATTATTGTCATTATTATCATTCTTCTTATTAGCATTATCATCATCGTTATTATAATCATTATCATTATTATCATCATTACCACTATTATTGTTATTATCATTGATCTTAGCATTATCATCATTATTGTCATCAGTATTGTTATTTTCATTATTATCATCATTTTTCATTGCTATTATTATTACTATTATCATAATTTATTATCATTACCATTATTACTAATATTACCATTATCACCATCATTGTTATTGATATTATGATCAGTGTCACAATTATCCTCACTATCATTATCATCTTCATCATTATTATCATCATCACTATTACCTTACCTTGCAAGCGAAGGCCTTCAGTTCAGGAAGTGATTGCCTGCAAGCGATCGAACAGAATGTGCAACAAATGGAGCAATTTATCAAAGCAAGACAACTTGATCAAGGGCTTCTTGGCCTTCTCTAACTCGGCTGCAGGATGAAGTGTTGAAAAACTTCCCTTGCAAGTTGCAGGAGATACATTTAATGCGCGCAATGTCTCCTTGGGTTGTTTTAGCGTTTGCTGTGGATTTCATCTGCGCCACATCATTTCAATAGGACTTAATATTATTTAGTGCACATATATGATTATACAAATACTTTGCATGTATTTATCAGTGGACTAATTTCGTATATATACGTATACATACATATATGTATTCATATATGTAAAAACACACGCACACACACACACACACACACACACACACACACACACACACACACACACACACACACACACACACACACACACACACACACACACACACACACACACGCACACACACACGCACACACATACACACGCACGCACGCACGCACACACACACATGTACACACACACATTCATATATATGCATATTCATTATTCATGATTACTTCATGTAAAAACAAGAAAAAAAATTATGACATCAATGATTATATGAGTATGTTTAAATAATTAATTTCTTACTTACATGCAAATCATTCGATATTCCGGATCTGGTATCGTCATTTGTAGATTTTATTTACACTTGTTTATTTTGACACAAGAATTTCTAACGAGATAATTACTTGAGAAGGAGACAGCTGCAGGTTTCTGACATGCCGATAAGATGGTTTTTGAAATGCCAGTATTGTATTTATACAATATTATCCGCAGTAATAAGTCGTTTTGCGTCGTAGGATTAAAATATTTGGATGTATATATGATCTGTCGTATGTTTTTTTTCTTAATTATTCAGAAAAGAAAACATCAACAGTACATGACTAAAATTACTTAGCCTTTTTATTGGGTTTGTATCGTCTGCCTTGATTTTGCTCGTCTGTCTCATGCGTCAAGTGATCAATGCGATGCGTCAGTGAGGATAAATTTATAAATACTCTCTCTCTCTCTCTCTCTCTCTCTCTATCTATCTACCTACATATATATACGCACATATATATATGTATGTATATACATATATAGGTGTAGATATACATATATAAATATATATACATATATATGCATAGATATACATATATATGTATATATACATATATACGTATAAATATACATATGTATGTGTGTGTGTATATATATATATATATATATATATATATATATATATATATATATATATATATATATATATATATATATATATTATATGCACATCCACACACGTATATACATATATAGATATGTATACACAAATACATCGTCTGATATTCTACAGAAAGCATCGTCATTTTCAAGTTTGCGTTTGTTCACTTGTCTGTTTATGCTTTTCTATTTTTTTTCCAGTACATCTTATCAAAGTCAAGATGTAAAGGTGTAAATGACAAATGCATTTCTGATAAGATACTTGCTGGGAAGGAGTCAGGTGAACTATCTTGGTCTTTGTAACTACTGCGTGTTAGATTAATACTGCTCTGCTCTTCCGATGTCAATGGCGCGGATAGGGTTGTAAAGAGAGTAATTGTTAATTAATCTGTAACTAGTTGAGATGTCTTGTGATTTACTACCAACCGTGCAAGGTCGCAAGATCATTGTGGTAATAACGTTCTTCAGGTTATCAACG